GGATTAAAAACCCAATGGATTAAAAACCCAACGGATTAAAAACCCAACAGATTAAAAACCCAATGGATTAAAAACCCAACAGGTTAAAAACCCAACGGATTAAAAACCCAATGGAGTAAAAACCCAATGGAGTAAAAGCCCAATGGATTAAAAACTCCATGAGTTAAAAACCCAATGGAGTAAAAACCCAATGGAGTAAAAACCCAATGGATTAAAAAAAAAGCCCAATGGAGTAAAAACCCAATGGATTAAAAACTCCATGAGTTAAAAACCCAGTGGATTAAAAACCCAGCGGGTAGGGCTGGTAAAAGTCCACCTTTTATGTTATTTTTCTTTCCATAAATTCCAGTGCTGGGTGTCTTTCTATTGACACGGGGACGAGCAGCACCCGAGCACCATTTACAGCCTGTGTTCACTTTGAGGTGAAAACGCTGCCCTCCACCTCCTTCCCATTTCTGCAGCTTTGTTATTTGCCATTGAAATCGTTATTTTTTCCTCCAGCTGCCCCCGAGGAAATGCAGCGTCGCCCCATTACCACCAGAGCACAGCGTGCAGCTCGGTTTCACTCCTCCACCGATTCGTGACCCGGAAGGGCTTTCAGGTTTTCTTTGCATCTCGGTGCCACACAGAACGCGGGGAGCAGCCAAAGAAGGACGTTTGTAACACAGGGAGCCTCCCAGCCATTTGTTTTATGGGATTATTCCTCGTCTACCTGCCCAACTCGCCGGGCAAAGAGGATTAAGTGAGCAAGCAAGTCAAACCAGCCGCCCTCGCTCAGCCTCTCCGTCTGCCTGCCAGCAGGGCCCAGATCCTTTGCATCCCACGAGTTTCTGAATTCTTGGCTCTTCCCCTCGTGGTGGAATGGAGAAGCTGTGAATGAGCAGCGGGCGGCGCAAGGAGCCACGCGAGGGGACGGAATGAATTTGTGTCAGAACGATTCGACTTTCAGGAAGCGAACGCAATTCTAGCAGAGGTTTTGAAGAAAGACAGATGCTGGTGTTGGTGTTGATGTCCTCAGTTGATCACAGAGGGACAGCAACCCAAAAGATGTCCCCAATTGATCACATAGGGACAGCAACCCAAGGGATGTCCCCAAGTGATCACATAGGGACAGCAACCCAA